ACGGGAGGACGCGGGCGGTCCCGCAGGATGCGGCAGACACGGGGCGATGGTGACGGCCGGGAGGAAGCCCGGCAGCCCGGCGAGCGCGATGGTTTGTTCAGCGGAGGGCAAGGGAACTGAGATTAAAAAAAGCCCCGCTAAGATCAGAAAGGCTGGCGCGCACAGTGCCCTATTGTGGAGCTGTCACACTTCCCTTTACTTTATTGCTTTTGTCCAACACCCTATTGTTCCACTTCCTTTTGTCCCCTATTCACAGCCCTGGCTTTTCATTACCCAGCCGGCCTTGTTGTTTTCGTTTCTTTTGTTTGAAGTTCCTGAGAGGAAGGTTTTATTTTCAGCGGTTTGATTAATTCGCAGCTTGAGCTGGGCTTTGTTTGTTATGTCATTGCTGCCCCGGCTCAGCTCCCCCCCCCTCAACACCCCGGCCCACACCCCCAGCCCTGATTTCGGGGGGTCCCGAGGTGTCATCAGGGTGCGGGGGGATCCCGGCTGTGGGGTGCCAGACCCCAGGGAGGATGCTCTCCCCATCCTACCATTGCCCCATCCCGCCTCGGCAGCCCCTGTGGTCCTGCAGCCCGGCTCCCGGCTCCTGGCAGCGGTTGGTGTCAATCCCATCCGTAACAAACTCCTTTTCCCATTATTCCTCCCCGAAAGGCGAGTTTCGGGAGGGTAATATTTGTTCCCATTCTTGCCGTGCAGCCTGAGGGTTGGTGGCCCCGAGAAGGCGAATCCCTTTGAGCAAGGCTGATCCCTTTGCGGCGAAGGGATGGTGAGCTCCCGGCGTGCCCGGCACTCGCTCGGGAACACGGCCTCCGCAGCCCCGGCACTGCTGGATGCTGCCGCAGAGCTGGGTCTTTGCAAGGGACATGGCTGTGACACGTCGTTTGGGGCCAGTTCCCCTTAATAAAATAATATACTGGCTGGGGCTGTGCGTGGCATCCCCTGGCGTTAAACAGCTCGTGCCCCATAACGGCTCGTGGTCACTTCTGCGGTGCCTGGCTGAGCGGCGGGCAGCACCGAGAGTAGGACCGGCACCCACGGCCGTGCGGGTGAGGTCGGGGAGAGCTGTTTCCCGGTGCCCCGGGAAACCTGCTTTGCCGCCCTGCCGGCTTTCTAGGCACGGCTCCTGGCGGGGTCCGGGAGAGGGGGACAGCTCGTTGAGCGGAGAGCCGGGGACCCCTGGGGTGCCGGCTCGGGTCTGGCACGGGTCTCTGTCGCGGTGAGCCTGGGGTTGCTCTCTGCCAGGCTGCCGGATGAGACGCGAAGGCACGTGCTCATATTGGCCCTAAATCCCGTGCCTCTAGGTCGCTTTCTTTCGGGTTTGCTTTGTTGCTCCTTTCCCTTCATAGCCCAAAGCGTGAAGGGTGCGTTTCCCTGGGGGCTTCTGGCCACTGAGCCCCAAACCTGAGCTCGGGAAACCGGGAACGAGAGCTCAGCTTCGCTAAGCCATGGCGAAAAGCAAGACCATCACCCCTGAAAAAACATCAGCACAGGGCACTTCAGTATGGGGCCAGGCTGGGAAAAGGGGTCCCCGTGGCTGGGGGGGTGCCCCACGGCTGGGGGTGCCCCATGGCTCTGCTGACGGCCCTGCCGCCCCGTAGGATGTCCATGAGGAGCCCCGTTTCTCCCCACCTGGAGCTCGATGGAGCGGGCAGCATGGTGAACTGCACCATCAAGACGGAGGAGAAGAAGGAGGGAGGCTACGAGTCCCCACCGGGGGCTGCCCCCAGCACCGAGCCCTGTCCCAACGACCTGCCGGGGCCACCGCCGAGGGAGGGCACCGACCCCCCGGCACTGTCACAGGTGGGTGCCACGGCTGTGACAAACACTGGTCCTGGCCGAGGTCCCACCGGCCATCCCCGCTCCAGAGCTGAATTCTGCCCCCGGCAGAGGGGTCATTGTTTCCCCGGGTGGTTTTTCCTCATCCCAAGAAAACGAAGGGGAAACTTGAGGCTCCCCACAGCTTTCTGGCCGTTGATGATGCTCTCAGGTCAGCTCTCGAGTGCTTCACCTTCAGCGTGGATTCCCCCACGGCCACCTCCAGACATACTCCATCCCTTCAGCCTCCCTTTTTAATTGCTCTTGGGTTTTCTCTCCTCCTGACCAGCAGCCTCAGCCTTCCCATTCCCCGCGCTGCCTCCCAGGGGGGACGGGGCTCAGAGGAGCCGGACACTCTAAATAGATAACAGAAACCTCCAGCAAACAAGTCTTTGTGGCATGAAGAGCAGAGATGCTCTCAAGCCCGGCTGGGGGGAATGCTCTGGGCGGAGTGTGGTCCAGCAGTCAGCTGGGCAGGGCTGGCTCTGAGCATCCCACTGGCCAAGCATCTCCTGTCCGGAGACCTGGAGGTGTCCCCATCCATGGGAGCGGATGCCGAATAACACTCTGTGTGTTGCAGGAGTCCCACTCGCCCGCCGGCGATGCGCCGGAGCCCAGGCGCTCTGCCTTCGAGCCAGCCGTCAGCGGCCAGGAGAAGCTGGACTTCAACAGGAACTTGAAGGAAGGTAAGGAAGGTGTCCCAGTGACTTCTGGGTCCCGTCCCCCCAACTCCCTTTGGGCCTCTCGTTATTTTGGCAAAGCTGTGGGACGGGATGAAGCAGCCCGTGGTGCAGAGCCTCGGGCTGTGCTCACCTGGCTCTCCTCTCCCTCTCCCTGCTCTGCCGATCCCGGTGCCTGCTGGTGCGGCCAGTGATGCCAACCATCGAGAAGTTACTGTCCAGTGACTGGAAGGAGCGGCTGCTGGGTCGAAACACCACTGAGTCCAAGGAAGTGAAAGGTGACATCTCTCCCCAGCCACCCACCTCCACCATCCTCCTTCTCGCACCCCGTGCCCGGCCAGCCTGGGCTGGAAACGCGATGTTCCTCACCTTGGCAGGAGGGGAGAAGTGCGTGCGAGTGTGTGTGTTTAATGGGGATTTGTACTTTTTTAACCAAAACATTATTTTTGGGGGGTGGCGGGCACATCCCTGATGAAAGCTTGCCTCTTGACTGCACAGAGGGGATGGTTCAGCACATGGGGATCTTTCTGCCCTCCACGCATTAGCCGTTCCCTGGCCATGCATCGCCCACCAGCACCCAACGGTGGGGGTGATGCTGTTCACCCTCCCCAAGCCCCTGACCCGTGGCCGCTTGGTTTCTTCCAGGAACCCAGGAGAGCCTGGCGGAGAAGGAGCTCCAGTTACTCGTCATGATCAACCAGCTGTCCACGCTGCGGGACCAGCTCCTGACGGCCCACTCGGAGCAGAAGAACATGGCTGCGATGCTCTTCGAGAAGCAGCAGCAGCAGATGGAGCTGGCGCGGCAGCAGCAAGAGCAGGTGGGCTCAGGTCCCCGTGGGCAGCCGGCTCTGGGGAAGCGTTTGCCAAGGGCCATACATCCCTTCGGGGATGCCTTTGGGATCTGCGGGCCGTGGGTGCAGGACCAGGACAGGGTCCCCCGGGGAGTGGTGGGGATGTGGCTTTGGTCTTGGGGGCAGTAGGACTTTGCTTTCTGCTTAGAAACCCTCCCGTTTTCTGTGCCCATCCCAAAGACTCGCTGTCTTGCTCTGCGGTTCCAGGAGGATGAGGGTCAAAGGAGATGGGAATTGCACTCCTTAAAATAATTAAGCCACGCTGGGTCCTTCCTGACTCTGCTCTCTTCACACCTACTTTTCCCTCTCCGGTGGCCCATACGATGCTAAGGGCAGGAGTGACGCTCGTGGCACACCCCAGGGTGTCCCTTCCAGCCCGTTTCCCTCCCCGTGTCCCGGGAGGTGGCTCAGGGGCCGCTCAGCCACCCCCTGCCTGCCCTCCCCATGGACCTCGGGACCCTCCGCAGACCCCTCGTCTCAGTTTTGCCGGTGTCGGGCAGCTCGTGCCAGGCCGTAGCCCTGCCGGGGCCAGCTCGGCGCTGCCGTCGGTGCCGCTGAGCCCCGCTGTCTCCCCTCCGCCAGATCGCCAAGCAGCAGCAGCAGCTCATCCAGCAGCAGCACAAAATCAACCTGCTGCAGCAACAGATCCAGGTAAAGGTGGGGAACATCTCCCCGTGTCCCCCCTCTTCCCGTGCTGGGTGATGGCAGCCCTTTGGTGCGCGGGGCTCGTGTCCCCTCCCGGGACCAGGCAAGGAGATGGCACCTCCCTGCGGTGTCCCGCAGCGGTTATGTGGTCTCTCTGCTTCTCTCCCCCTCTTCCCTCCAGCAGGTCAACATGCCCTACGTCATGATTCCCGCCTTCACCCCCAGCCACCAGCCTCTCCCCGTCACTCCCGACTCCCAGTTAGCGCTGCCCATCCAGCCCATCCCCTGCAAACCAGGTGAGCGGCGTCCCCCGGCACTGCCCCCAGCCCTGCGGGGTGACTTTGTCCCCCAACCCCTCTCCCTCTGCTCCCCGCAGTGGATTACCCAGTGCAGCTGCTTCACAGCCCCCCTCCTCCCACGCTGAAGAGACCCGCTGGCTCGGGCCACCTCCAGATGCAGGTACAGCCCCAAAGCACCTCCATCCCCTGGGCTGAGGTGGTGTGGGGGGCTGCGCTTCACCCCCCCTCCCCTCCCCTCCACCGCAGGAGACCTCGCAGCCGCTGAACCTGACGGCCAAACCCAAAGGTTCCGACCTCCCCAGTGCCTCCAGCTCGCCCAGTTTGAAGATGAGCGGCTGGCAGTCCCTCACGCCGAGTCACGGCGCCACCAGGGACCTGCAGAGCAGCCCGTCCCTCCTGCCTCTGGGTGAGTTCCCAAGTGCCTTTCACTGATGGATGGTCCCATGCCCTCCCCCGGCCACCTCCCAGAGGCAGTGGACACCTCTGGTCCCTGAGGTCCCTCCTCCCTGAGGTGACCTGGGTGGGCACCCGCTGCTCTGTGCCACCCCCTTGGGACACACAGTTGTGATTTCTGGGGTGGGATGGGGTGGATGGGGTGTCAGAGGAGTCGGCGCTGGCGCTGATGGGTGCCCGGGCTGTTGTCCTGCCAGGGTTCCTGGGCGAAGGTGATGCCATCCCCAAAGCCATCCAGGATGCACGGCAGCTACTGCACGGCCACAGCGGAGCCATAG